CACACACACACACACACACACACACACACACACACACACACACACAGCTTACCTATGGTAGTAATGACCGTGATGGCGAAGTAAAAGGCTCCGGCGAACTTCCACTGGACCCCGGCCCTGTGCGGCTCGGCCTCCAGGATGAGGGTCTCCAGCTGACGGTAGTCCTCGTCGCTGATGTTGTACTTCCCCTGCAGCCGCCTCTCCTCCGCCTCCAGCTGCTCCTTCTCCCGCATCTCGAACTCGGACTCCAGCGCGTCAAACACCGCCGCCCCCACCAGAAGGTACGTGAACGTGCAGGCGATCAGTGACAGGGTCCGCGCGTTCTGCCGCTTCATGACCAACAGGAGGCGGCGGCCGCGGGCTTCATGTCCCCCCTGGAGTCCCCGCGGAGGCGCAGCAGGCGTGCGGGGAGCTGCGTGGGCAGCGTGCGGAGGCGGGGGCTCGACAGGGTGCGCTCCGGGGGGGCACGCTGGACCCTGGCCTTGTGACAAAGATCCTGGCTCACGGAGAGAGAGAGCAGGCTGTTGGGTCGCCCGGACCTGGAACTCTGCGCCAGATCTGCACAAACCGAACCCTGGCTGTGCGCCACGCCATCAACAGGCTGCTCCACAGCTCTGCTCCTGCGCTACACAGGGTGGAGAGGGTCCACACGTCTYCTGTTTGCTCCTTCAACCTGTCTGAGCCTGGTTTTATTTAAAAGATCCTCAAAGTCAGCCTCTTCATGTTCTGTAAGTTGGAGCTCAGAGCAACATGTTCTGAGCTCAGGATCCATCACAGCACAAAGGATTCTTTCCTTGTCCTGAAAACATCTCCGTGATCAGTCATCAGAAATGTGCTGACTGGACCCGACCATCAACTGTGTGTGTGTCTGAGTGTGTGTGTCTGAGTGTGTGTGTGAAATCTGTGTGAAAATGTAGACATCTGGAACATAGAAGACCCGATGTGACACTCACCAAAGCGCCCGGGACTGTCCGAACCGCCGGCGGTTCGTCACTTTCAGCCGTTTAAGATTAAAAAAAGTCTTTTTCTCCTCGTCACTCGTCCTGACTCTCAGTTGTCCGAGTCTGTCACAAGTYACTGCCTCCACAGGTCTGATCGGTGGGAGTCCCAGGGTTCTTCAGGTTCCAGGTGTGAGGGTCCTCCTCCTCTGTCACAGCGCGCCTCCTCCTGGGTGGTCGGACGGAAAGCGTCAACCCGAGCTCGGCGTGGTGGAACTATCCGTGGTGCTGACACGCACACACAATCTGGTGCAGCTACAGTGGCGGATCTAGGATTTTTTATATAAAGGGGCCATCAAGGGGCCACGATATATTTTAATCCATTTATTCATTTAATCAAAAACAAAAAAGTTTACATTACAGAAAATACAGAACTTGTGTCACGAAATAAAATGAAAGGCAGCAGAATGAAGAAAAAATCGTATAATATCTGCCCCATTTTACAAAGAAAAAAAGAAGAAAATATATTAATAATCTTTTGGTTACAAAAATACAACAAAACAGAAACAACAACAAATAAAACTTACATAAATACCCATTATTCTATTTTATTCAGAATACTGTAGAATACTGTAATCAACCAACTCATGAAGTTTTGATAATTCCTACACTGCAAAAACTGTCCATCTTCCAAGTTTTAAAACCTTATATCAGCCAAAAAGTCTTTTTGATCTTGTTTTCAGACTGATTTACTAAACAAGAACTGATTGTGTAAGAATAATCATCTTGTTTTCAGAATGTGTAAGATTATTTGTCTTGTTAGTCTGAAAATTTGACTCTAATTAAGTCAAACATTTCTGCCAGTGGAGTAAGAACATTTTACTTGGTAAGATTCTTAAAATACTTGATTTGAGTCAAATTTTCAGACTAACAAGACAAATAA